ACTACTACTACTACTACTATTTCGACGACGACTACTACTACACGCAACACTCAAAGTAGAGAAGGTTCGGCTGCACAAATAATGCAAGCCTTTCGGGCTGAGTTGCAGCTCGTCGAAGGTCCCAGGTTCTGTTCTAAAATATACCTCAAGCCTCACGGGTTGGAGTTTATAAGGTGTATGAGCTGATAGATAGGACGACAGTGCAAGATGCTGACCCTGGTGTCATTTCTTGCATGGGCGCACAGATGATCACGCCCATTAATCACGATGATCATCACAAAGTCCCTGATTTCGATGGCGTTGGCAATCAGTCAAACAAGCACTGATGTGATTGCAGCAAGAGCTGTCTATGAGAGCGGCGATTTTTGTTGGCTCGCCGTGCTGGTCACTCTGTCTGCCTAGAGCAGGCAGCTATCGCCCGGCACCTGATGTAGGGGCGTTTTTGGTTTGGTGCTAGTTATGAATGACATACTATACTTCAATAGGAGCTGCAGGGGGATACTGCTACCGTGTTGTTCTGACTTCTACATTGCTTCCCGGGTCCTTCTTTAGGCAATCCTTAAACAGGCAGCTGAAAAAGGCTACTCTCCCACTTCTCGGGTTTAAAGTTTTGGGCTTAGGGTNNTAGGGTTTAGGTTTAGTTTAGGGTTCTCCACTAGGCTCCTTTCTAGTCGGTGGGTGTCCGAAAGAGTGGAACTCTTGTTTAGATCAGGGTTCTGGGGCATACCCAGCATAAATGTAGGGACTTTATCAGGGTAAACTATTACTATAACCTATACCCCCAAAACTAGGTATAATAATGGCCCAGCACCTACAAGAGGCCATGATCTAACATGCTTTTGGGGTTGAGGTAGTTTGGATTCAGACCTCTATGGCAGCGCTCCCGTCACAGACGCCGGCGTAGTCCGAAAGAGTTGAGGCCGGACGAGCCAGCTGGCACACCTCGTCGGGTTAGGGGTTTCGGGTTTAGGANNTTTAGGATTTAGGGTTTAGGGAATTCCTCAGGGTTTAGGATTTAGGGTTCCTTTAAATTTGACTAAGGGTCTTCAAGGGTTCCTATAAGGGTATAGGGTTTAGGGATCCATGTAACCAACTAGCAAATACATTGGCTCCAAACTGGAGTATATACTATTTAGATGCATGAACCCTTAGGGAAACAGCGTTTTATCATAGCTAGCATAGTATATTGACTGGAACGGAACGTTGTACGTAGTATGCTTGTATAGGTGCTACAAAGCAATATCATATTTGCACATCCCAGCGGTTTACAGGGACTATACGGGAAGGGATATTCCTCAGGCAGAAATCAGTGGATGGGACAGGCCTCTGAGTATATCATACTTATAAACAATTGCAGTGAAGCTGCGCCAGGGATACAAAAGTACTACGCAAAAAAAAACGCTGGCTTGAGTTCTAGCAGATTCTAGCAGGCGCTTTTGTTGGAGCTCGGATACAGTTGAACGACTGTGTTTCCCCAAAGGGTCCACGTACCACTATAGTAGCTACGCTGTAGATATTCAGGCCGCAACAGTATCTACTATACCATTACTTGGACCCCCTGGGAACGCAACCTAAACCCTAAACCCTAAACCCTAAAGCCTCAGCCCTGAATCCTAAAATGCCAAGGCACTATCAGCTATCTTCAGGCCGACGGCGCCGGCGGTGCGCGTGTTCGTCGGCGTCCGTAGGCTCGGCATCGGGTCGACGCCGCCGCCGGTGCACGCGTTCCTCTTCCACGTCGTCATGGTGCCTGCTTTCTCATGCTAATTATTGTGGCAGTTCCTGTCTTTGACTGAGGGTTTCATACGGTGCTAGTTCAGGACCTTCAAAGATGTGATCGACCTTATCAGGGCTTGAGGCTTACAAGGTTGATCACAGATCTGAATACCGAATCGCCGACATCAGTCTATGCAACCTCAAACCTGATCCGTCATGCTCAGAAGCATCAACTGCCGGACAGCTGCGAACGACGAGTCGTCGTCGTCGTCGTAGTTGGTGCCTGCAAGTTTTAAGGTTTAACGGTTGAGGTCGCTGAGGTCGGACCAACTTCTACATTCGGGCGTTCCGGTTAAGTGCCGCGGATTTCTGTGGATCAGCCTCTGAGACAGCATCGCCAGACTAATGTTTAAAGCCCCCATAGATGTTAAGCTCGCTGCGACAAGCAGAAGCACAAACGAGCTCCGGCAGCGCATGTGACTCACACAACCGACGTTGTATGCGGCACGCCCAAAGGAAGAGATGAAGCTCGATTCAGCAAGTAATATTTGAAAACATGAGCTTCGCTACACGCAAATGCATGCCGGATCGGCAGGGGGCGCCGGACGGCGGTGGCGATGTTCCTCGTCCACGGCGTCCGTAGGCTCGGCATCGGGTCGACGCCGCCGGCGGTGCACGCGTTCCTCCTCCACGTCGTCATGGTGCCTGCTTTCTCATGCTAATTATGTGGCGGTTCCTGTCTTTGACCGAGGGCTTCATATACGGTGCTAGTTCAGGACCTTCAAGAATTTGAATGCGATCGACCTTAAGCAAAACGCACTGAAATTCATGGCTTGAGGCTCACAAGGTAGATCACAGATTGAATACTGCATCGCCGACGTCAGTCTATGCAAGCTCAACAGAAACCCCTATACGCAGCCGAAACCTTAAGCCTTCGTTCGAGGCCATGCTCCGCAACATCTCATTCATAACATCCTGGCCTCCGTTACATGGGCGATGTTCAACATCATGGTGCCCTAAGCGTCCATGTACCCAAATAGAAAATACCCAATAGTACATACCTTGGCCCGAAAATACCTACGTATGTAGGGACTACTTTAAGGCCAAAGTATATACTTTTTGGGCACATGAACCCTCAGGGAGGTAGAGCACACCAAGCTGGTGCAGCCACTCCTTAAAGCCTCCCAAAGGGTTCAAGTATGAAATATGGTCGGTACTTAGTAGATATCTGGGCCCCGAAAGTGAATATTCCACCAGAAGTGGGGTCCTTTGGGCCTTGTCTGTTTGCCACCGAGCCACTTCTTCCCATGCTTTTGCTTTTCCAGCTCCTGTCCCGATCGCGTGCTTCTCTTGCTTGCGCTCGTCATCTTCGGCTTCGGGGCATGCGGTGAAACTGTGTCGGAGCTTCAAGGTTACCTATAGTCTCCATTGTAATTCCCTTTTTGGTTTAACTATTTTATATTAAAGATCCTATAAGGTAACCCCAAAAAGGAACTACAATGGAGACTATAGGTAAGGTCTTTCAGAACTATGCCAGGACATTACACGATCCGAAAGGCTTCGGTGACCATCAAACGTGGATGGATGCATCAGCGATCTTCAGATATACTTCAGAATGAAACAAGAAGTAGCCTAAATAACCTTCAATCAGGTAGCCAGTTAACCTCATGGCTTTAGGATGGATTGCGTACCATGACTTGATTTGAACTGATCGAGTTCTTCGTTGTTGTGGGTCTCAGTCGGATATACTACATGTAGTGGCTGCAATAAATAGAATAGGGTTTGTGGGGTATGTTATACAAACTTGAAATAAGGACCCACCCAAACAAACACATTTTAAATATTGGTAATTTTTACGGCCACTATACTAAATTGCGCCATTCCCAGATCAAGACAAGAACCCCAAATACCTCGCTTGCAGCTGCCACTGTACAAAGAATAAGGATGTGACCCCTCAATCACATGCTATCCTACAAACGCAAAAGAGACAACAAACTGAACACCCCGACCTCCTTTGTAGCCGCCACTGCTTCGTCGCGCTTGCGCTCGGCCTTGGGGTGGCTTGCGTACAACGCCTCTGTTTTGAATGGTCTGGTTCCTGTATTGTCGGTAGTCAGAGTATTCATGATCGGGGTGCACCCCATCACTCACATGCTATCCTCCGAATACAAAGGCCCCGGATCAAGACAAGAACCCCAAATTGTTCGTGCACGAGCTTGTCCTTAGAGTGGCTGGCGTACCACGACTCTGTTTGAATCGATTTCTTTGCTGTTTCTGGTACGAAGGATCGAGATGTTTCCCCATCACTCACATGCCATCCTTCAAACACAAAAAAGACAACAAACTGAACACCCCGGCCTCCTTTGTAGCCGCCACTGCTTCGTCGCGCTTGCGCTCGGCCTTGGGGTGGCTTGCGTACAACGCCTCTGGTTTGAATGGTCTGGTTTCTGTATTGTCGGTAATCAGAGTATGCATGATCGCGGTGCACCCCATCACTCACAGGGGTGAGGGATCAAAAGAAAAATCGACAAGGATCAAAAAAAAGTTAGAACCGTAGGATCCAAAAAAAATTATATAAGGATCAACAAATAATTTGACCTTTGCTATATTTCCAAGGCTTTCAGGGAGTCTGGGAATTCGTAGGTGGGTCGTGGCTGCGAAATGCGGAACCGTCGTCGCTTTTGGACTGGTCTCTTGTCGTCGCGTCTCGAAAGTGCCAGCAGTCACAAGGATCGTGGGGGTCGTGGCCGCGAAACGCAGAACTGTCAGATAGAGCGGAGAGGATAGCCTGACAAGCACGAAGCGAATGTGCAAAGACATGTCATGAGGCTCCAGATGAGTAGAACGAGAAGCGACTGAGTGTTTTATGACTGCACCGAAAGGTGCTTCGGTGTATGTCAGAGATGCCAAATAAGCGCCTGACAAGACAAGGATACACGTGCTACGGGAAGATACCGCGAGGTAGTGTCTCTAGCTGCGAATGTGCTAGAGCCGATCCGGACGCGCGTGACAGGACGCTACTGTGCTGCGTCCCCCCATTTGCAATCACGATGCTCGCATGGTTGGTTTACA